CCTGGCAACCAGACATCACTCACAGCCCCATCACGAAGGTGTAACACTATACAGAGGTGAAAAAATTTCAAAGATCATATTCTATTTGAAGACTGCATATTTTAATTGGCTTTACATTGTAGCACAACACATAAAGGATATTTCCCAGATAGGTACTGCATTATGTCTGTGCAGTAATTATTGGAAGTCTAGCTATGGAGCCACCCCAGGTATTGGGGTGGGGGGACACTGGGGGCATGACCGTCTTTCCTATTTTAGAATACTCTCTGTGGCTATAAGGCAAGGAACGGGTTGGAAAAAGAGACCAAGTGTCAGACACCTTCAAAGTGGCACCATTAGTGACTTTTATTTTTTTATTTTTATTTATTTATTTATTTTTTGGCGGTACCAGGGATTGAACTCAGGACATTTATAATATGGCTCTTGTAAATCAGACCCGTTGGTGGTGTGTTTTGGAATGCCTGTGTATGCGTTAGGCAGGCAGGATTGGCGGTCATTCCTGCTGCTTGTTCTTTTTAAGTGAAAACTGCAGGGAAATTTTTTTAAATGCTTGTTAATACCAAAAATTAGCATTTTCCAATATGTGTCAGTTTAATCCACCTAGATTTTAATCATAATGGATATGAGAGAAAAAAAATTCTTAAAGGGGAGAATAAAGCAGAAACCCAGTTGAATTCTGCTGAAAGTGGGAAACGGCAGTCCCTTTCTACACTACGCTTCCTGGTCCTTGTGCCCTTCTATGTCAGACCTGGACTCTGGAGAACTCGCCCACCTTCCCCTGGAAAGGCCTTCAGCGGCCTACCTGCTCACACAAGCTCGCCTTCTTAGTACCCTCCCGAGAGTGAAGACCACAGAATTTCAACACAGTACATCAACCTGCCTGTTGTTTTTTCAAGCTTTGACTCTTCTTTAATATAGTTATATTCCCCACACTAATAAAAATCACCGCACAGGACTTGCCCCCCTAAAATATACTATAAAATCAGTAAAAAATGAACAAGTACCATGACAATTCTAGGATTAAGAAACACTATAGGGTAGAGATGGGGCAGCACAAGTATCCACAAGGGAGTGGTACTTACTTAGGCTAATAGCTATGTACACACTGGAAATAATTATTTAATTTTCACTAATCTTTTCTTTATCCCTTTTTTGTTTTTTAATTTTTTGGTGCTCAGGACCTCAAGCTTCCTAGACAAGCAACCTACCACTGAGCTAATTCTCCAACTCCTAATCTTTTTTTTTTTTTTTTTTTTTTTTTTTTGTGGAACTGGGGATTGAACTCAGGCCCTTGCGCTTGCCAGGGAAGCGCTTATTCCATTGAGCCATCTCCCCAGCCCCTCCAACTCTTAATCTTTACTTTTCATGGCAACTGTTTTTGATGAAATACAGAGACTCCAAGGAAAAGGCTGGAAAACATCCCCCAAATATTAAATTTCCCAAAAAGCCATGCTATTACAAGGTATCTTGATATTTTCTTTTTAAAGTTTTGGAATGAAAACTTATCATTTACCTGAATAAATGAGTAACTGTAAGATTTTATTTTAAAAGTATTGCTAGAATGAAGCTAGCTTTTAGAATTTAGGATTCGTCTATAATGAGATGATACTGTCTGCAAATTCTCGCGCTACCTGTGAAGGAAAGCTGAAATTACATTTGTCAGGGGTATCGCTCTCCTACCACAACCACACCAACTGGGCTCAATCCAAATTGTAATTCCACCTCGCACTGCCCAGCCTCGCGCCCGAAGACCTTGTT